CAATCCCTTCTCCTCCATTCTCCTCTCGGGATCTTGGGCACGCACGCACACGTGCCCGTGGTGAGTTCGAAGCCACCGGGTCCGAGATGCAAACTGCTGTCGACTACATGGGAGTCCAGCGACATAGCCATTAGGCTAATTGCTGGTCCCTAAAATATTTTCAATAAAATGCTTTAAAAGCATTTGTTAACTATAAACTTGATACAAGCATGATTTAAATCAGACTTTTTTTCTATAGTAAAGTAAGTCTGCTAGATAAATAACAGTTCACCCATTTTTAAATAAACTGCTATCTAAACAATGGTCCTAATGTATGTACCACCAACAGCAACTGCTGTCATGAGTATATTAATTTTCCTAGCTAAAGAAAGGTAGAAACTGAAGGAATACTAATGATAAAAAATAATACTAAAATTTCCTTGTCAATTAGTTACACAGAAGTAATCAGGACTACCTGACAATATCCACATTAATGGCATTTTCTAATTCTAGAAAAAGAAGGAAAAACGTGAATCAACATTCATTTGAAAGATCCCAAATTGAACCTCTTAAACCAAGACTGGAAAACCATAAATGAAGTATCAGACATATGGAAATATAAGAAAATTAAAAGCATAAGCTTTTATTTATAGGTGGAACCAGCAGATGGCGTAATGGTTGTTACTGGACTAATCGCTGGTTAATGTGGTCAACTGCTATTTGAGTCCCAGACCCAGTGGCTTAAAACTCATGTCGGGTGCACATGTGTGCATGCCTAAGATTCCAAGAGAATGGAGGAGAAGGCCATACACCCCGGGGTGATTTCTCACTTTCTGTCTCTCTGGCGAGCACATGTACCCAAATAACAAGAAAATCTCTCTTAAAAAAGAAAAAAAAGCTCATATGGCTTTGAGGAAAAAATGGCTAAAAACGACAGTTAATTCTCACAGTATTCATCAGACTTTTGTATAATGAGTAGAAAAAGTGAGACTTGTAGAAAAATGGGCAAAGAATAAGACTAGGTAATTCACGGTGCAAATCAGAACAACCAAAGCAGAAAAAGATGTTCTAATTAACCAGTATTCCTGGAAATGCTAATAAATGCAATAATGAATAGTACACATCTACCAGAAAGGCAAGGGCAAGATGCAGTGGTGCGGCAGTAATGAACACACGCTGGACGTGAAGGCCACATGGGAAGGCCCTAGGTTCATGTCCAAAAGACTGGACACTAACCACATGTGCAAGCCCGTGATCCTGGCTAGCTGAGGCTGGGGATAGGATTGCTGCATTGACTCTATTGGGGGTGCTTGTCTTCCTTCCTCCCTGCCTTTCTCCTGGAAGAGGTAAATAAACTATAAAAAGAAAATAGAAGAGTGCTTTTACTGCTGGCTGAGTGTATATGAACAAAAATTTTCCTGATTGCTAGCAAATGAAATGTTAAAGCTATTTGTTTTTTTTGGGGGGGGGGCTGGAAAATATAACATCTACAGGAAACATATATACCTCTCTACTTAGCAACTCCACTTCTGAGAGTCTCTCAAGGCCATAAAACCTCCAATACATACGAGTACAGGAGAATATATTTAAAAGATTTTTGTTGTGCTATTCATTGCTCCTAGTGGCAGAAAACAAGGCACCAAGTGAATGCCTATCAACAATGGAATGCCTCAATGATGCCCTCTATATTCACATCATGAGATACACTGCAGTCATATTCATTGCTCCTAGTGGCAGAAAACAAGGCACCAAGTGAATGCCTATCAACAATGGAATGCCTCAATGCCCTCTATATTCACATCATGGGACACCCTGCAGTCATCCAAAGGAATGACTCACAGCTCTACAAGTGGCTCAGGGACTTCTATACAGCACTGTTACATAAGAAAAGCAATATACTGATAAGCGTGTTTACATATAATTATACAAGCACTAAGAAAATAAGGAAGACTACATACAGTGAATTTAAAGAAGTTTGTAGAAAAATAGGATTAATGTATTTTATTTAGTACAAACTTTAAAATCCATGTATCGTTTTATAATATACATTTTTTCCATGAACTTTGTGAAGACCCCTTATACTGGGTTGTTGGCAAAGGTTATCTGGTATTTGGGTAGTACACAGAGGAAAACATAAAACAAACAAACAAAAACACCTGGGTATATACAATATGATTAATGTATTTATTGGGCTATTAGAAAAGTCATGATGCATTCTTGCATAGAAAAACATAAAAAGATACATCACTACTTTTCCAAAGACCCAATGTATAAAATTATATAAATAAACACAAAAATTTAAAAATATGTATTGGGTTAGCATTTATTGAAGTGCCTACTGTGTTAGAAGTGTCAGCTCTTTAGCAACAAAGTACTGCCGTGGAATGAGCATTGCTTTTGGAAACAAGATTTAGGTTCAAATCCATCCTTCCTCTAATAGTTAAGTCCTATTTCATAAGTTACTTTAACTTCAAGTTCCTTATCCAAAAAAAGGGACAATAACATTTGCCTTGACATGTTTTGAGGTTCAAAGGAGCACAAATGAAAAAACTTTCTCAAGTAAGGTAATCAGTGGTTAGTTAAAATTAAATTTGCTTTTAAACATATTCTAAAAGTCAAGGTTTAATATGTAGTACCTTTATCCTTGTGGCTCAGTGACAGAGCATTCACTGCCAGAATGCAGGGGAAATATTCACACGTGTGGCCCCACTGTGACCAATGCTTACAACAGTATGCAGTGAGTAACTTAGAAACAGACCGCCAAGAAACCAAGGGCCCCTCAGAAAGTAGAACTCAGGTTTATTATGCCAGTGTGAGAAGCTCACACTCCAAAGTCTGGGTGCCATCTTGGGGACGTTACAAGGGTTATATAGCCAGAGTTTACAGGAGTTGCAGACAAAGTAAACTAGAAACAGCTGCATTACCCTCTCTAGTTCCTATAGGGACTGGCAACCTGTTGAAGTAGGCAATTTACAAAAGCGGAAGAGCTATCAGTTAGACATTGAACAGGATTCCGTATCAAGAAAACCTGGATTTAAGTCCAGGAGTTGAGCCATCAGCTAAGGACTTACCTCTGCAAGCATGATTCAGTATTCATAAAGTAACTGTGTATGTGTTATAGGGTTGTTGTGAACACCAAGTATTAAAACAGTGATACTGCATGCTCAGATTCAAGGGGATAGAAAAATAAAACTTAGAGTTAATGGGTCATACTACATAAATGCATGGGTAGATATTGTGCAGCCACCTTTTAAATGTATACTTTGTCATAGTAATCACATACAGAGCTATGAGAAATCGTTTTCAGTTGTCACATGATGTTATACAGCTAGATGTATTAGTTACTTGATGTCATAAGAATGCTACATTTTTAATCAAAAACTGCTCACAAGTCTACAGGACAACTGGATGGTTCTAGAAGTCTGGGCCAAGATTGGCTGATCTTGGTTGGTATCAAACGTAGCAGTTGTTAGCTGGAGGGAGAGTTTAACACTATAGCCTCACTCACATGTCTGGTTATGTGCCAGCTATGAGCTGGTACAACAAAAGTGACTGGACTACCTGTCACATTATCCAGAAGGCTGGACAATGCTTGTTACCATGGTAGTTGAGGATAATTTAAAAAAAAAAAAAGTGAAAATATTAAAAAACCTTCAGAAGTCTACTTAGGACTGACAGTCTGCTATTTTCCCTGTATTCTATTGGCCAAACTAAATCACAAGCCCAGTACTCCAGATTTAAGGGGTAGGTAAATAAACTCAAGCTCAAGGGGGTAGGAGGATCTATAGAGGCACATGGCAGTAGTCAAGAGTACTTAAGAGAAATGAAAAACTGGGGATACATAGGAATAAATTCATCCAAAATAAACCTTATTGCTTTACCTTTAAGTAAAAGAAAATTCTAATGGGGCAGACAATAATGAAATCATATTGAATACTATGTTTTTTCTATTCAAATTCACGAATGGACATGTCTTAGCCCAATTAGCGTTGCTCGTTATAACAGAATGCTTGAGACTGGGTGTATATATAATGGAAAAAAAGTTCACTCAGCTCCTAATTGTGGTGGCTGAAAAGCCCAAAAACATGGTGGCACCATGCACTCAACTCTGATCAAGACCAGGTACTATTTCAACTCACAGTGGAAAAGCTAACAGTTGTGTCCAAAGAACGGCTGGCTTACATTATTTTTAAATTTTTATTTTTTTAAGATTTTGCCATAGGGTGTGTGCACTCACTGGAGAGAGACAGTGAGAGGGAAAGTGAGAAATCACTGCCCAGGGGGATGGCCATACCACAATCCCTTCTCTTCCTTTCTCCTCCTGGGATTTTGGACATGCACATGCACATGACCGGAGTGGGTCTTAAGCCGCCAGATCTGGGATTTGAACAGTAGTCAGCCATGTGGTAGTTGAGCCTTAACCACTATGCCACCTACTGGCCCTGCACTGTTTATTACCTTCTTTGTGGAAACTAGTTAAAGAGAACTGCTTCCTTTACAGGGATGTGCCTTAATCTATTCATGAGGGATCCATCCCCTTTGTTCCACACACCTCCCACTGGGCCCTACCTCCCAACACTGCAGCATTAGGTGTTAAGTTTTAATATGAATTTTGGTAGAGACACTTAAAACCATAGCAGGGCAGCTACCTTAAAATAAAAAATACCCCAGGGAAAAGATAATGAACCTATCAATGATCCACTATAGGGTCGGACACATATTAGTCATCACAGTCTTTCTAAATATATAAATCAATTCCCTTTTCTTTCATTCAGTTTTCCATGGCTTATTACTTTCTCACCTTTCCTATTTCCCTTATTCTATATGAAGAAGCATACCCGACGTTTTTGTCACAGAAAATAACTTGTGCATTAGAGATTCAATAAAGTTCCAACACCTTAAGTGCAAGAACAAACTAACAGTTAATCATAGGTAATATATGAATTCCTTTGGATATAGTGAGAACTAAGTAAATAACAGAAAAAGAAAATCAGACAACTCAAAAGGTAAACAATTGGACTTTAATGAATAATTGTGGTAAAAGTGTTTTTGCACAATATGTGGGCATAAGACACACAAAAAATAAAAACATTTTTTTCTCCACAAATATCCCTTAGGACAGCCACAACAAGTTTAACTTGATATAGATTACAGAGTTTAAAAACCAATTAATTAACAAATGTTTACAGTTAAAACTTGACATACATACATTTATTACCCTAAAATTGGATATACCCTCTTGACATTTGGTTTGTTATTCTTATTGGTACGATTGCTTTTTTAAAGTTTTCCTAGGAGGAAATACAAAAAAAAAAAAATCTATCCAGATTATTCATCATTCTTGAAATTAGGAATAACAGTCTTAAATTAGTTTAATTTTGAAAAATAATGGTAAAATGCTGGAGTGTTATTTTCAGAATTTCCTTTTGAAAACAATCTCTTTGACATTTTCTTTAATGACAAATGAGCATAAGAAAAATAATTTTGTCCTGGCATCGCTGGATTGAGACCTATGCTGTTAATAAATTCAATACACCAGTATCTACTTTAAAGGAGATCAACACTAAAAGGTAACATGAAACAGAAAAGCCAACTTTAGGAAATGCATTCATTCCATGAATTAAGGTAATCCCGGTCAGATTTTATCCTCACATCTCTGAAAACAGATGCACATCCTGATTTCACAGATATCAATGATCACTTTCCTTGTAGATCAAAAATATGCTTACCTGTTTGACAGCTTCAGTATTAACTGCAAAGAAAGGTTATTTCCATAACCTAGTTCTAGGTTCCCCAACTACATGCTATCACAGGTAGTTAAAGAGGAATGTGATTGACATTGTGGATGAGATAATTCTTAAATTTGTGGGACTATCCCAGACACTGAACAGTTAGCGTTCCTGGCCCACTCTATGAAGGCCAGCAGTTTTCAAGCTCAATCTGACAACCAAGAAATACACCCATATATTTCCAACTACCTCTTGATGAGAACCACTGAGTTACATGATTCAAGATTAGCATATATTAACTTCATGACTTCCACAGAAAGTAACTGCTTCATTAACTTCAGTAATAATAACTGAAGAAAAACATATTTTTAAAAAACACTGTAATTAAATGTTATTTTGGAAAGATAAGCTGATTTCTTCAAACTTATGGTGATCTGAAAAGATTGGATGCACAAAGTGCAATACTTATTTATGCCCAAATGCAAACAGACATTTACAGGAGATGTTCTACTGGCATATCTTACCCCATTTGTCATTATTATAAAAATATGTTCATCTATGACAATAAGATAAAAAAACATGTAGATGTTCTTGAGAAGGTCCCTCACAATGATCATCCTGGAAACTGCTGTTGTCTTTGCTCCAAAACTTGCTGATTTAATAGCTGTTGCTGTTTCTGTAAAAATTGCACTACTTCTGGACTTCTAAGTAATGACTTAAAAAGAAAAAAGAAAAAAAATTATTAATAGCATTATTCTTACATGATCAGACTATTCATGCTATAGATTCTAATGTACCCCTAAACCAGATACAATATATTTACAAAACAAAACATGACTGAATTGAATTCACTTGCGTATCTGATGCACTGCAATGAAACTGTATAATAAAATTTGATGTCATACATCAAAATACTAACATCTAAAAATAACGCATAAAGCCTGATTTTATTGGTGAATCTGCATACAAAAGAAATGCTTTTCATGATATGCCAGCAAATATACTCTCTTGAAACAGAGAAGAGCAAATAATCAAGAATAGCACAGGCCCAAGATTACCGCAAGGGAAAAAGGAATTGAAGGGGGCCTCATGTGAAATGGCAATTAAATGCCAGTTTAGAAATATGAAGAGACTTCAAAAAGTTCATGACAAAATGGAACTCAAGTATGAGTTTATTTCTTTTTTTCATGCCCTGGAGAGACAGAGAGAGACAGAGAGACAAAAATCTAAAAATCACCCTCCCCTGAGACACAGAGAAAAAAAGCTAGAAATCCCCCCCCCCCGGGGGGGTGGACATGCTGCAATCCCTTCTCCACTCTCCTCTGGGGATTTTGGGCATGCACACACACATGCCTGGTGTGAGTTTTAAGTTACTGGGTCCAGAACTCAAATTGCAGTTGACTATGTGGGAGGCCAGCGATGCAAACATTATGCCATCTGTTGGTCCCAGTGTAAGTTTATTTCTGCACAAAATTTTTTTTCTAATTCATGCATAGCTTCTTCACAATATGCATTTTCCATTTAATTTTGGAACCCTTCTTATATGTATAAACTAGTATTGGAATTCAAGTTTCTCTCACTAGCAACTAGGTCTTCATGAAGAAATTTAAAAATTATGTGTGTGAATGTATATGTTTATAACTCTGTATATATACAGGTATATATAAATTAACACATTACCAACATTTCACAAAAGAATATGACTGCTCTAATCCATTTTTGTACACTTACTATTTTAAAATATAGCGGTAATGATTTAGCCAACTATGGTTAATATATTGTTATTTTAAAAAATACAGTCATGAACTGCACGTTTTGGTCAGCATCAGACAGGATATATAAGATATGGTCCCGAAAGATTATAATGGAATTAAAAAGTTCCTATCACCTAGCTATGTGGTTGCTGTAACATACAATGCAAAGATTACTCAGGTATTTGTGACGACATTGATGTAGAACATAATTATGTACAGTTTCATGAAACCTGATAATAACTATGTCATTAGTTTAGGTATTTATTATACCATACTTTTTTTTTAAAAGAATTATTTTATTTAACTTTATTATTATCATTATTATTTTCAGTTTGATCAGAGAGAGACAGAGAGAGAGAGAGGAAGTGAGAAAGCAAGCCACCAGGTCCGAGACTTGAACCGTGGTCGGCCATGTGGGAGTCCAGCGCCTTTAACCACCATGCCACTTGCCGGCCCCTATACCATACTTTTTTATCACTAGAGTGTACTCCTTTTCTACTTATAGAAAAACAAGTTTACTATGAAAGTGTGACATGTCACACCTGCAACAGCCTTGGACATCTTGCATTTACTGCTTCTCTTGATTGCATCATTTTCTCTTGTGCTTGATTTGATCTTGTGTTATTTCTGTTTATCATGGCCCTTCCAGTGGGACAAAATGTGGAGCTGGAAGACAATGATACTGATGATTCTGATCCTGGGTAGATTTAGGCCAATATGTATGTTTGTGTCTTAGTTTTTAACCAAAACAGTTACAAAAATAAATAAAATTTTAAAATAGAATAAAAGTGTATAGAATGTAAAGAAAATATTTTTGGATAGCTATGCAATGTGGCTTTAAAAATTAATATATTTTTTCCATGAGAGAAAAAGAAGCACCCTCTAACGGGATCCTCATGCCATGATCCACCTCCAGTCTCCACTAGCCAGGGTCATGGGCACATAGCTCCTGCTTCACCTGTACGAGACCTCAGGAACAAACCCAGGACCTCCAAGACAGCCTCAGCATGAAGGAGCATTGTATTATGGCTATGCCATGGTGGCTGGCCTCATGTTTTAAGCTAAATGTTAGTATAAAGGGTTAAAAAGTTAAGAAAAACGTAAAAGTTTACAAAGTAAAAATGTTACAGAAAGCTGCGATTAATTTATTACTGAAAGAAGAACATAATTTTGGATAAATTTAGTTTAGCCTAGATGTACAGTGTTTATAAAGCCTACATTAGTAAGCAATAAGGTCCTAGGCCTTGACATTCACTCACTATTCACTCACTAACCCAAATTTCAGTCTTGCAATCTTCATTCATAAGTGCCCTAAGATAGGTGTATCATTTTTATTGTTTATATTGTATTTTCGCTGTACTTTTTCTATGTTCAGATACACAAATACCACGGTGTTACAACTACCTACAGCATTCATATAGTGACCTGTAAGGTTTGTAAGTTTGTAGCCTAGAAGGGACTGGCTCTGCCTTACAGCATAGGTGTTTTATAGGCTATACCATCTAGGTTTCTGTAAGTATATTCCATGATGTGTGTACAATGATGAAATTGCCTAACAATGCATTTCTAAGAACATATCCCTGTCATTAAATGATGTATAACTGTTTTACATAAATTGATAAAAAAAGAACTTTGGGCCCCAATAAGTTGACAAAAATAAACTGAACAAAGTGGAAATACTATCATTAAACACTGATTTTATAATATATATTCGATCATGCCCATTTTTACTAAATAGTTTTAAAAATTATTTGTAAAGATTTCCCTATATTGGGACCAGCAGTTAGCATAATGGCTATGTCGCTGGACTCCCATGTAGTCGACCGTGTTTCGAGTCCCAGACCCAGTGGCTTAAACTCATGCTGGGTGCGTGTGAGCTCAAGATCCCAAGAGGAGAATGGAGGAGAAGGGATTGCGGCATGGCCATCCCCCCTAGGGGTGATTTCTCACTTTCTGTCTCTCTGTCTTTCTGGTGAGTGTACATGCCCTATCGCAAAAACTTCTCAAAAAAAAAAAATTTCCCTATATTCTATTGAGTAAATGTGCATAATCTACTTAGCTGTTAATGAAACTATTGGACATTCGTTTAAACTACTTTATTATTTACGGTAAATATATTTCTGGCAATATATTTATGCTTAAATGTATCCATATTTTGGATTTACTTTCTGTGAACGTCTTCACATTACGTGTGATTTCTGAGTTGAAGGGATGACCATTTAAAAGATTGCTTATACGTGCTGCCCACTGCTTTCTACAAGTGCTGTACCAATCTATGATGCCATCAAATGCTCCTTTCATGGAACTCTCAAAATCATTGTATCAACAAATTTTCAATTACTGTTACTGTTCATCATATCATTTTTAACTGATATTTTACAGTAGTATTAGGTCATCGGGAAAGTTGTGACATATTTTCTGTTTTTCGGGAAAGTTGTGACATATTTTCTGTTTTTCTATGCATCATGACTTTCCTGACAACCCAAAATTTCTACTTTGCAATCTGTCAAGGCCAAAGTTTTTTCTCATCAAATTATATGAATGTTTTATCTAATAGAACCATCAAGCATATTTGATATCAGCCAGTCTTTTACATTTGTTGCAAATATTCTTCCTATGTTATTTTTGCACTTTTAGCTTATGCTGCCATTTTTAACTACAGCATTCTTTTCTACCCCTCTTACCTATGGTTTTTCCTTCCACAGTTTCACTGACCTATAGTCAATTGCAGTCTGAAATATTAAGTGGAAAATTCCAGAAATAAAGAATTCATAATTATTAAGTCTTCTGCTGTTCGGAGTAGGACTAGATCATCTCCTGCCCTGGTGCTCTATCCAGCCCAGGATGTGAATCATCCTCTTTGTCCAGCATATTCACTGTATATACTACCTGCCCATTAGGTATTTAGCAACTGCTCTGATTATCAGCTCTAAAAAACATAGTATATATAGAGAGGGTTTGGTACTATTCATAGTTTTAGGCATCCACAGAAGGTCCTAGAATGTATGCTTGGCAGATAAGGAGAAATGACTACAGTAAATTTCATAATCTTTTATGATTTTATCTATTTCCTTTAAGTTAGAAAATCTCATTCCATATTTGTAAAATAAAATTCTGTTTTATAAAAAAAATTAAAAATTCTTTATCAGGAATTTGAAATGTAGTGTGATGGGATGAGATAGATTATTTTTTGCCCTCAAATTACTAATTACTGTGGTAACTATTGAACAATCTCTACTTTTCTGATTGGGTTCTAATGCCTATCTAATTCATAAGAGGTCCTTATTAAATATGGATCTAATTACCTCATTAACATTCCATTATCCCCAGAGTTTACTACAGTGAGAGCGTGTTTTAAAATCCCATCTTGCTAGGGCCAGCAGGTGGCATGGTAGACAAGGCGCTGGACTCCCACATGGTCAACAGTTTGAGTCCCACACTAGAAGGTTGAAAAATCACATGGGGCACATATGCATGCGTGTGTGCTCAAAAATCCCAAAATGGAGGATAATGGGTTGCAGTGCAGCCACCCTCAGGGTGATTTCTCACTTTCCGTCTCTCTTTCTCCGTCACTCTCCAGTGAGTACACACACCCTAGGATACACCCACACACACACACATACACCATTTTGCTCAAATATTCACAGTATAGTTAATGAAAAAAATAGAATTAAGCATTCCTATTCTTTTTTAAGAAAAGAATTATTTATTTAATTTTATTTATTATTATTATCATTTAATTTGCTATAGGGTACATGTGCTCATTAGAGAGACACACAGAGAGAAAGTAAGTGAAAAAGCAAACCACCAAGTCTAAGACTTGAACCATAGTCGGCCAAGTGGGAGTCCAGTCCCTTAACCACCACACCATCTGCTGGCCCCAGTGTTCCTAGTCTTACAGTCTTTCAAGAGCATTGGTGAGGTTCTAGTGTGTACAGGCAAAGATGCACAATTCAAACTTGATGACCAGTTTAACAAGTTTTAAAGTCTCAAAAATCTAAATAGTTCCATTTATAGCAAACAACTTTTGTTAAAAGATTTATAATTACTTTACAAACAGATATTTACCAGTCTTTTTTGATTTAACACTTGTTCTAAAAGAGTAGGTCTTGCAGGACGATCTCCAAAAGATCCTGTTCTTTGTTTAACAATGGAGAGTATGTTATCTGCACTTTCCTGGGATAAATGATAAAATACAAATGGGATTAATGGTTAGCATAATACAATAATCCACAATTACAGGCATTTTAACAATGTAATAAACAGGACTTTGCTTCTCTTCCTTCTTCTTGCCCAGTCCCTGTGAAACTTCAGGAAAGTCCCTTGTTATCACAGGCAGGTCTTGGCAGCTAATTTCCTATAACACTACTCATCATTCCTTCTCCTTTCAGGATATCTAACTGGGTTCTTTGGTCTCTTAAAGGGTCTCAAAAGTTAACAGCAGGGCAGGAATGACAAAAAGGGGTCAAAGGGTTACTTGTGAGCTATTTTTAATATTACAAAATAAAAGCCAAGTGAAATTGAACATTCTTCTCATATAAAGCTACCCTCAGCAAAATAAAGCCTTCCTGTCATATATATTGGTAACGAGACACCATAATTGATTTTTTGCCCAATTGACAACCAAAAAAAATATGGTGGAGACAGCAGAATATTACTTAAAGAGGTCATTGATAAGCATAGCCTTCAAAATCTGAAAGTTAGGAAAAAAATGATGAACTGGCTTAAAAAGTCTAGAAAACAGGGCTAGCAGGTGGCATGGTGGTTAAGGTGCTGGATTCCACATTATCAACTGCAGTTCAAGTCCCAAACCTGATGGTTTGAAAATAATGCCAGGCACTGTATGTATGTGCCCAAAATCTTGAAAGGAGGATGGAAGAGAAGGGATTGCAGAGTGCCCAACCCCCCAGGGGGAGATTTCTCACTTTCCCTTTCTTTTTTCTTTTCTGATTCTCTCCTCTCTATTGCGTGCATGTGCCTTATGGCAAAAAAACTAAAAATAAATAATTAAATAAATAATAATAAAGCTAGAAAGCACTGGCATAAAAAGTCTTCTGCCACTGGTATAGGCAAAATAATTAAGTTCTAAAATGATACCATTATTCTTCAACATTTCTATTCAAGCAAATCAGCAGCACTTACTATCGAATGCATCCCAGTTAGTTGCCAGAATCTTAATTACTTGCAATTTTCTTGTATGTTCCCTGAAACTTTTATAAAATCAGATACAAGACTGAACCACAATACAAAAATTCTTACAAACATTAACAAACATAAATCTGTCTATGTTTTAGGCTGGCTCCATAGCACGGTGTATAAGTACTGTGTAGGAGGAGTGGACCCCTCACATGGCTGACTATAGTTTGAACCCTACCCTGGCAGCTTGAAAATCACGCCAGGTGAATTTGCTCAGGTTCCTGAAGAGAAGGAAGAGTAAAAAGAAAGAGGACTGTGGAATGACAAGGCCCCACTAGAGGACTTTTCTTTGTCTCAAAGTGCACAAATGCCCTGTGACATAAAATACAAAAATTAAATGTTTTAGCATGAATTTATATGTATTTAATCTCTCTGGACTTTATTGGGTTGTTGGAAAAGTCATGACACATTTTTGCATAGAAAAACACATGACTTTCCAAACAGAATAGTATATTATCTGATTTTTCTCTTGGCCTTCTTTACTGGTCTCTCTCAGTTGTTTATGAAAATACCTCCTTTACCTTTTTTTATTATGAGACGTTAACCCATGCAATTTTACAGAAATGTTCCATCTCAACTGTAAAAAGAGGGTTCTAATACCCAAAGACAACAAAAATAATTTCTTTCTCTCTCCACCCAAAGTCACCTTTGTTTATGGAGATTCATTTCTATGTGCACAATATATGGCATGCTGAAACTGACTTGATGGAGTACCCTCTATCCTCCATATCCTAGACAAAGCACCATGTAGGTAGACTCAGAGTGTTAACATAACAAAATCACATACATTTTGAGTAGAAATAACTTTGAGTCATCTAGTCCAAACCTCTACCAAATGTTGGAATTCTCTTTTCAAAAATTTGAACAAGTACTACTATTTTTTTTTTTAAGAGAGATTTTTGCTATAGCGAGCATGAGCTCACTGGAGACAGAAAGAGACAGAGAGACAGAGGGATGGCCCTCAGAGGGATGGCCATGCTGCAATTTCTTCTCCTCCATTCTCTTCTTGGGATTTTGGGCACCCAGGCATATGCACTGAGTTTTAAGCCACCAGGTCCGGAACTCAAACTATAGTCAACTACGTGAGAATCCAGTAATGTATTATGCCAACTGCTGGTTCCAAGAGTGCCAACTTTTGAGGCACTTCATTCAGTTTTGAATAGTTCTAACATTAAGACAGCTTTTATTCAATTTATTTTTAAATAAACATCCCTGGTGATATCTGTCAGAGTCCTAGTTACCTCAAAATGATGCACTAGAAATCTGCTTCTTCCAGATGATAGCCTTTCATTAAAAAAAAAAATAATTTAAAAACGATAGGTAGTCATAAGTGAAATGCTTCTTCCTTGGAAAGAAACCTTGTCCTGGCTCTCTCTCTCTATTTTATTTTGTCTCTCTCTCTCTCTGAGTACCTTTGGACGGACAAAACTTGATCATCCAGACCAACAGATAACATAACGATTAAGTCACTGGACTCCCATGTAGTTGACCATGGTTTAAATTCCAGACCGGGTGGCTTAAAATTCATGACAGGTGCATGTGTGTACATGCGTAAAACCCTGAGGGGAGAATGGAGGAGAAGGGATTGAGGCATGACCAGCCCCCCTAGGGGGGGTGATTTCTCACTTTCTGTGTCTCTGTCTCTCCAGTGAGCACATATACCCTGTAACAAAAATCTCTCTAAAAAAATAAATAAAAATAACTTGATCACCTTTACTAACTTTCATTTTGTACTGAGATACTTATTTCCATGAATCCTTGTAACCCAAGATTTGGTAAAACATATTATTTTACCTGGATATGAATAGAGAGGATTTTTAACTATTACAAGAGTCCTAAATCCATGAATTAGTATACAAAATTCAACACTGACATATGTGTACTTTTCTAGAAAGTCTTCATTAGGTTTCAAAAGATTCTTAAAGTCCTTTTATCTCAAATAGATTAAGACTGAATTGTGGCCCAGCCTTGCGGGGTAACCGTACATACTTGACTACAGTGCTGGAAGCCATTTGGCTAATGGTGGTTCTAATCCCCAGATTAGCCTGAAAACACATGAGGTATGCGTGTGTGCCCAAGATCACAGCGTGATGAAACCCCATCTCTTCTCTTTCAACCATGCAGGTACTTTCTAGCATAAAAAAGACTTCAACTGAATGGAAAGAAAACTCACTCCATATCCTAACCAGTATTAATGAAGTACGGCTTGTGGGTGCCTGCATATTTTAGAAATATTCAGAACACTACAGTTTTAAACAATTAGTCTAAAATTTTAGCAATGGGGCAGTTGTTCAAGATTAGCCTGAAACTAAGATATTTAAAGACTGAGAATACATTCTAAGAGAGGATTCAGCTTTGTTTTAAATAATTATTTAGTCTTATTCTTTTTTTTAATTTGCTAGAGGGCACGTGCACTCACCAGCAAGAGACAAAATGAGAAAGAGAGGGGAAAGTGAGAAAGAAAGCTGCCAGCTCCAGAACTCAAACTGCGGTCAGTCATGTAGGAAGTCCAGTGCCTCAACCACCATGCCACCTGCTGGCCCCAAGAAGTTTCAGTTTTAAAAATTATTTTCTGAGTCACTTGTAACAAAATTCAATTTTTCTCTCCACTGAAGGGTGATAGCTCACACAGGAGGAAGTATCCAGTTACCTTTAACAATCTCAAAGTACACCGCTAACAAGGACAATAACCGCTAATGCTTAGCGACTGAGTGTGAGCACTCAATGTGGGATATCTCACACATTCCCAGAAATTCTGAACACGGTTCTATTGGAAGGGGGAGGTTTTTGCTATAGGGCGCGTGCACTAGCCAGAAAGACAGAGAAGACAGACAAAAAAACCAAGAAATCCCAAATCCCCCCACCCCCCCAGGATGGCTGCAATCCCTTCTCCTCCATTCTCTCCAGATCTTGGACATGCATGCACCCATGCCCAGTGTGAGTTTAGGCCACCAGGTCCGGGACTGGAACCACGGTTGACTACATGGGAGTCCAGCAACACAGCCATTACCATCAACTGCAGGTCCAAACAGGGTTCTATTTTAATGCCCCTTTCACAGAATCAGCTGAGGCTTAGAAAGTTTAATGGCCTGTTCAAGGCCAGAGGGTCCATAAACGATGGAATGGGGAGATGCAGTCGGAGTCTAACTCCAGAGCACTGGCTTTAAGCTTCAATACACTTCAACTCAAACAATCCACAAAGTTTTCTGAGATTTATATATTACTCAAATTTTTCCATTAGGGTATTAAGTACAGGGGTACTGAGAACAAGGTACTGGATAGAGGAGCAAGGCAATCAGGCTACTGAGAATAGAGGTACTAAGAAGCATAGGAACGGTAGGGTAAACTGAGTAGGGTAAACTGAGAACAGAATAATAAAACACAGTAGTAAGCACAGGAGTAACAGAACACAGATGTTCAGAACCGGATACTGAGAACAGAGTAGCGCAAACAAGAAACTATCACCTTCTCCAAGGTACTAATTTAAGCCCCAAAATCTGTTTGCCTGCTCTGTTAGCGATGATCATCTATAACCAGATCTTTGCAATGACAGATCTGCTTCTATGTCACATCATTTTCATGACATTCACTCACCTACCGCGTAAATGCACAGAACTGTTAAGGCTTTGCACACGTTCCTATGAACATTACCTTAGAATAAGCCACTAGGCCAGCCGCGCCAACCCAGCTCTAGGAGCGGGTGGACAAGCCCTGGAGACGGGTTTGGCGGCAAGATGAAGCTGCTCTTTCAACTCCCACGGCCTTCCCCCAAGGCCTCGGTTATGGTCCCATACCTCCAGTTTGACGCTTCCTGCACTGCCAGCCGAGGCGGCCCCACTGCAGTTCAGGGCCTGGTCACTCTTCTTCTTTTTGTACTTGTCCTTGTACATCTTGTTGCGGTGTTTCTTGCACATCCACGGCTTGCGCTGCTTGGCCACCTGGCTCGTGGTCTCACTGCAGCCCTCGTAGGTGCAAGTCTTGCTCATGCCGCCCCCACCGCTGCCCCGCCTCCGGGCTCCCCCGCTGCCGCCTTCGCCCCCGGAGTGGGTTTCCTCATCCTCCAGATCCTCCAAACTAGCTGTGCTCTCGCCTCCCCCAGGCGGGTCGGACGTGTCCAACAGGTCCGCTTCATCTTCCCCTGCGTCCTCCTCGCCATCTCCCACCACTTCACATAGGTACCTAACGGGCTTGCCCGCCCCAACGCTGCCCCCCGGCGCCGGGGCCTGGCACAGAGCGCCCTCGGCCGCAGCCTCATCCTGCCCTCCGCACGGGTGCATCACCAGCAGGGTGAACTGCGAGGTCGGGGCCGCGGCAGGCGCGGGAGCCCCCGAAGCCGCAGCAGGGGCCAGGGCCCCGGAGTGGTGTACACCGCCGGCGGCGCCCGCCCCCGCGGCCTCGGCGCCACTCCGCACCTCCGTACTGCTGAGACGTGGCCCGGGCCCACGACCCCGGACGTCCAACACCTGCGGGGCCCAACGGCACGTCTCAAACCCAGGGTTCAAGACACGCGAGAGGAAAAGCAACCGGCTTCGCGAAGACCGCCACCACGCCTGCGCAGCCACGGCCGGCGCACCGGCGCGTGCACGGCCGGGGCTCTCAGGGAACCCGGCGTCCCCGCGGGGCGGGGCTGACGCAGACCCGGAGGGACCGACTGCGCATGTGCGGCCCGAGGGCGGAGGCGCCCCCAGGCGGCGGTGGAGTAGTGGAATCCTGGAGATGTTGCTGCGGAAGCCTTGCAGTGTTTGGCGGGGCCGCGCTTTTTTTACATTGAGCCAGCTCCACCTAAGTAGTTTCAGGGCACTTTTCTTCTGGAATTCCACTATGTACATTAAAATTGTTCCCGACCAGTGTATGAATTGTGGCGTTAGAACGATGATATTTCTCCCCAAACTGCCCCAAACGAAGACTTGCGGCTGGGATGCAGTAGTGGGACAGTCTGGAGCCTCTAAGTAGCAGCAGTACCTGACAGCAGAGGAGGCTTCTTCCAGAATGTGGAGTGGGCCAGAACCTTGACCAAGGTAGACTTGTGTTGAGCAATAAATGATTTACCCTTGAGACATTGTTTTTTTTTTTTTTTTCTCTCTGGGAAACTTATTTTGTTTTGACTACTTTCCCCTTGCTATGGCCTCTAGGGTAAGTTTTTGTTTGTTTTGTTATTTTTAGGTTTATGCCTTGGTTTTGTGTGCTTGCCAGAGAGAGAGAAACAGAGAGAGGGAAAGTGAGAAATCATCCCCCAAGGGGAATGTCCACACCACAATCCCTTCTCCTCTTGAGATTTTGGGCACACCTGCACGGGCTTCTGGTGTGATTTTCAAGCCATTGGATCCAAGACTCAAACCGTGGTTGACCATGTGGGAATCCAGCCTCCTTAATAACCGCCATGCCACCTGCTGGCTCCTAGCGTAAGTCTTAAGTAAAGTAACATTTCATGAAACAATGAAAAAGTGTGAAAAGGACTGTGATCGATCTATTGTATTTTTTCTTCCAGTTGCTGGTCAATTTATGCTCCCAAGAGAGAGAAGGAGAGCAAGCCCACCAGAAATCCCCATTCTTGTGGGAGTTCATGACCATGACTTCAGAATAGAAAGACCACTCACTAACATCTACAAAAACAAACATATTTCCCCAGCATTAATCAGGATGTTGACCAAAATGTCTTATCAGGTCTTTTTGTACTTACATGGATAAGAGGGAAATTCTTCTTCCCAATCTACTACTTGTTCTCCTAAACATCCATTTGTCTTTCCTAAGGAAACATATTTGTTTATCTTCTAGGAACCTTTTCTTTCCCTTTCCCCTATTAAACTAGGTATAGAAGTCCCAAGAGCTTACCACTCCTTTGATTTACCCACTTCTGAACACTCCTGTAAGCTTATAGCTCTTGTAATCAAATTGTTTTTTCTTTTGTTAATGTCTTTAGTTTAATTTGCAGGCCCCCAGGTGATTAACATAAAAGAGTAGGTTTTTTCTCCTCTCCAGCAGTTAAAAGATATTAGAAAAATTTACCAGCATAATAGATAGTATATTTAAATCCCAGTTCTGGGCCTGCTGGTGGCATGGTAGTTAAGGTGACTGGGGCCACTTGGCTTCCTGTGGCTTGCATCTCAGCAGCTTAAAACACACATGGATCATGTGTGCCCCAAATCCTGCAGAGTGGAGGAGAAGGGATTGCTGCATGGCTATCCCCTCTAGTGGGTGCTCTCTTGCTCTGTCTTGTCCTGTTATAGTCTAATCAACGAGAAATAAGAGGACATCCAGACATAGCCAAGTTTATTGGAGTTTTATCGATTAAGCTGGCGGCATACTGGGGGACTCATGTCTCTCAAAACCCTGCAGCCCTGAGTGAAAGGAGAGAGGTGCTTATATAGGAAAAATGCATAATTGATTCTGGATTGGTAAGGTGATTACAATGGAAACCAAGGAGAGAGTGAAGAGGAAAGGGAGTGGGGTTCCCATTCAAAGCAGTTACAGAAGCTGAATCATGCAGGTTAATTATTTCTAAGGGCATTCTCCAGACCTTTGTTTTATGGTCCCCATGGCTCTGGGTCAGGGGTCTGGTGATTGGTAGTTACATTGCTAAGGAACATCAGAACAAAATGGTTTTGGGCTAGTTAACAAAGACAGACTATTAATCACTCTATTTACTCTGGGCAAAAGGAGAAAGCAAGTGTAATGTAAAGTTCAAAGATGGAGGTGCTTCTGCTTCAGTTCTCTCTCATGTCCCCCCTCCCCACGAACCATGAGCACATGTGCCCTATCAAAAGTAAACCTTGGTTGGTATTCCTATTACTGAGTTCAATAAAAGACAGTAGGTTAAGAAAAACATAAACCATTTTCCTAAGGTATACATTTACATACCAAAAAGCCCAACTACTATAAGGTTATAATTTAAATTTTAGCATTATTACCATTGCCACTATTTCACTTAGGGTCCATCCATTTAAAAACCCTTTGAAGCAGTTAACTACTAAAGACAAGGTATTGTATAGATTTTGCATGGGCTTCCTTATCTCCTCTATCTCCTTAATAGTCTCCCTATTTCTCTATAAGCATACACATTGCTACTTTGATGTTTTTGAAAATTATGCCTTATAATTAATTGGGAAATAGTAAGATGAAGTGTTTTATTTTCTTTTGATAGTTTTTGATTTATTTGGGCTTTTTCCATCAAAAGGAAGTAAGGTCTATTAAAGGGGCCTCAAGCTCTGGGGGCTGGGGAGAGATGTCACAGTGAATGTGTAGAACTGGAACCAGGAAAGCATCAGCATTAAGGCAGTAGGAGGGACTGGCTACTCTCCCACCTTTCTTTCTCTCAAGCCACTCACTTCTTTCTGGACAGTTTTCTTCAGTTATTTCATAACTTTAGCTTATGTATGACTTTGATTGGTCTCTGTTTGATCCCCAGATCTACCTGTATTCTTCTGCTCTTTTCTGCATTGTGGTGGGGCCTGAAGCTTAGATGGTGCATGGCTTCCAATCAGATTTGCCTAGTGAATGTGCTACCAGAGGGAAAGAGAAGAGAGATCAGTTAGGATATTTCTTCGCTTTTCCCTTCTGTCTTACTTCACTTCTCTGGCGCTATGATTACTGCTAGGTACAGTTCTGCTAAGGTACCCTCTTCCATGTTTTCAGGTCTTAGTGAGCTTCAGGACAGTAGTGTTTTTCTTTCATCTCTTCAGGTCCAGGGTAGTAATAACCTCCTGCCATTGCAACTTTCTAAGTGGATTTACCATCCTTTGTTCTTTTAACACTGCACACCTTTCTGCAAGTAAAGTCGTTGCAGTGAGTTGATTAAAGTCTCTTCCTTTAAACCATCTTGTCTTCTGTTTCCTGCTGGGACTTTGAAGGATATAGTGGCCATCAAAGGGGTTCATGTTCTGCAGTTAGTTCTTCAGGGCCATTTTTGTCTCAATTCCCACTACTCACTGATGCTATTTCTTCAGGGTTTCTATTTTAGATTCCAGATTTTGAGACTTAATTTTGCCTAGCATGTTCTTATCAACCTCTGTGATCCCAACTCCTGTTTTAAGTTACTCTCTGATACTAAACTTTTATCAGGTCCTCTGTGAAATTGCTTGCTTTGTTTTTGGTCTCAAAGTGCAGCTAGACACTACAAGGTCTATGTCCAGTACAGTTTCCCTTCAAGGGGAAATGCAGGATAGCAGGGAACAATTGATTCCTTTACTTTAATTCTGCTTTAACTCTGTTTAACATTAATGTTAACTCCTACTTGAGCTTCTGCTTTTACTAAAGAAAACAATGTATGTTTAGCATTTTTATCAAAGTTTTCTAGAACCAGAGATCTATGCCTTTTCTTCTCTGTTCCACCTTCTCTAGCTTATCATTCTGTTTTTCTTATCATCAAAATCATAATATGCTGCCTTGAGAAATAATTTATATGCTGTGTGTTGGGACTCAAGGAAAGGAACCATTCCTTTGGTTTTTACAACCCCTCTTTTTAAATTCTCTTTCTGTTACCTATGAAACTTGGTGTCCACAGAATACCAATTCACACCAAAATAGAACTTTATCATTGAGATTACAATAATCCCAATAAAAGAATTCAGCTATGTTAAATTTCTGTCTGGTGTTCTATAACATGGAGTCTTCAGAAAGTTGATGGGAGTGCACATTTTTAAAGCTATGCAGGCCAGCAAGTGGTGTGAAGGTTTAAGGCAGCTGTATCCTGTATGGCTGACTGCGTGGTTCAAGTCTCAAACCTGCTGCTTAAAAAAATCATGCTGGGGGGACCAGCAGATGGCATAATGGCTATATCACTGGACTCCCATGTAGTCTACTGTGGTTCAAATCCCAGACCAAGTGGCATAGACTCGCACCAGGCATGCGTGCATGCATGCATAAGATCCCAAGAGGAGAATGGAGAAGAAGGGATTGCGGCATGGCCATCCACGCTGGGGGGGTGATTTCTTGCTCTGTCTCTCTGTCTTTCTGGTGAACGCACACGCCCTATAGCAAAAACCTCTCAAAACAAAGACAAAAAACAAACAAACAAAAAGAAAACACTGGGTGCATGCCCAAAATCTTTATTTTTTTTTCAGAGGTTTTTGCTATAGGGCGTGTGCGCTTGCCAGACAGAGTCAGAGAGACAGAAAGTGAGAAATCACCCTCCAGGGGGGATGGCCATGCTGCAATCCCTTCTCCTCCATTCTCCTCTTGGGATCTTGGGCACGCACGCACACGCATCTGGCGTGAGTTTAAGCCACTGGGTCCAGGACTCCAACTGCGGTCGACTACATGGGAGTCTAGCTACATAGCCATTACGTTAACTGCTGGTCCCACATACCCAAAATCTTGAGATGAGAATGGTGGAGCAGGGATTTCAGTGTGGCCATTCTCCCTGGGAGATGATTTCTCAATTTCTTTCTTTTTCTTTGGTGAGCACATGTGCCCTATAGCAAAATTAAAAAAAAAAGAAAAAAAGTGAAACAAAAAAACAACTACACATGGATTTAAAAATTTTTACACCAAAATAAACCTGTACTTTAATTCCATTCTTCCATAAGGATTTTGAAGTCCCTCATATTACATGTTATATTTTATATTAGTATTTTATTTAGTCCAAAAATTTTTAAATTCATCATTTGCTTGTTAGAAAAGTACAAAGGATAGTAAGAAAATGAAAATTAACATTGAGTTAATTTTTTTTTTTTTTGGAGAGGTTTTTGCTATAGAGTGCATGCGCTCACCAGACAAAGATAGACAGAAAGAAGGCGAGAAATCACCCCCCGGGGGGATGGCCTCGCGAGAATCCCTTCTTCTCCATTCTCCTGTCAGGATCTTGGGCACACACACACACACACACACACACACACACAC